TGTGATTTTTTGTTGATGTGATCTCGAAGCATATACAAACAAGTTTGATGGTTCGGATCATTGAAATTAGTTTCGGATAATTCGTATCCCATCAAAACGATAGATTGACTAACACTTAGAATTTATTTATACTTTCATTAAGTATAACATAAGATTTTGTGGTATTCACTTGTGTAAATATTTTAAATTGAATATCGAATTCATTCATTGTATTCATATAGGGTCAAGGAGTGTAGCTATAAAAAATCATCAAAATCGGAGTTAAACTAACCGTTAAATCGTGATTTTCGTTTATAACCGTCGAAAGGCTTTGTCCCGTTACTTGATCTCTGAATGTTTGTTTTTTGTGATTTTTTGCTGATCTGATCTCAAAGCATATACAAATAAGTTTGACGGTTGGGATCGTTAAAATTAGTTTTGGAGAATTCGTATCCCATAAAAACAATAGATTGACTAACATTTAGAGTTTATTTATACTTTCATCAAGTATAACATAAGATTTTGTGGTATCCACTTGTGCAAATATTTTAAATTGAAGATCAAATTCATTCATTGGATTCATATAGGGTCAATGAGTGTTGCTGTAAAAAATCATCAAATTCGAAGTTAAATTAACTGTTAAATCGTGATTTTTCGTTTATAACCGTCGAAAAGCTTTGTCCCATTACTTAATCTCTGAATGTTTGTTTTTTACGATTTTTTGCTGATGTGATCTCAAAGCATATACAAACAAGTTTGACGGTTGGGATCGTTGAAATTAGTTTCGGAGAATTCGTATCCCATCAAGTTCAATGGTGTGTGTGTGTGTATATATATATATATATTTATTTATTTATTAAGTAGATTTAAATCTATTTATTTTGTACGTATAATTGATTGGTACACGGAGTAGTACATATGAGTCATTATAAAAATAGTGAGATATGTCATATGTGTGATAAAAAGTTAATAATTTAAAAAAAAAAAAAATTCTCACCACTTCTATTAATTTTCATTTTTCCCTCTCTTTTTTGTTTCCTTTTCAAATTTTCTTATAATTTTCACTTTTCCTTCCGGCAGCCTACGGTGCCCACCCATCTTTCCCTAATTCCCTCTCTTTTTTGTGTCCTTTTCAACTTTTCTTATCATTTTCGTTTTCCCTCCCTTTTTCTTCAAAAAGGGTAGCACTGCAGGGAATGGAATGGAATTATCAATTATGGAATCAAATCAACCGCCAGGGAATGGAATGGAATTATCAATTATGGAATCAAATCAATGGATGCATATTAATTAATAATTATTATAGTTTTTATGAAATTTAATTCGAAATTTAATATATATATATATATATAATTATTATAGATAGTTAATATTTTGGGGGTATAATTATTATAGTTAATTTAATATATATATATATATATATTTTTATTATAGTTTTTAGGGGTATAAAATTGTTATATTAATATATATAATTATACAGTATTTTTTTAGGGTTATAAAATTATAAAAATAATATTCTGCTTATCGTGTATTGTGTTATCCATGTGTATACTCAAATCAACCCATTATCTTAACAAGTGCTTATCGGGTTACCCGATAACGACCTGATTCGTTATCTTGTCGACCTGAATACCTGCTAATTTCGTGTCGTGTCGTGTCGGGTTATCAGGTCGTGTTAGGAATTGCTAGGCCTAGGAACAAGGTGGAATAAAGGGTAAGGAAAAACTCAATTATGGGTCAAAAAAAAAAATTCTCATCATTACCCATAATCCATCTCATTCCCTGATGAATAATATTTCTATTAGCGAGGATGCTTTTTCAAGCAAGGGAGTAGTTTTGTTTCACTTTGGAACTAAGGAAAGACTCCTTGCGTAAATATTTTGATTTCACTGTTTTGACCCACCAATTGTCGTCATCGGTTATCACTTTCCAACCCAACTTAGCCAAGCAAGCATTATTGAAGTGGTCAATTCGCTTGACGCCAAGGTCACCTTGATTCTTAGTGGTACAAACCTTATTCCAAGCCATAGGCTCCAGTTTAGAGTCCATTCCCCAGTAAAAATCCCTATACTCTTTGTTAATTTTTTTTGTAAATCTATTAGGGCATTTAAAATAGGATATAACATGGTTCGGCATATTTGTAAGATTGGAATTAATATAAACATTTATTATAATACCATTGCATTCAACATAAGCATTAAGGACATATTGAAAAGTACCATTTATAAATAAAAACTTAAAATTCAAACGTCATTATTTAATTAAATGAAATTAAAATAAAATAAATAAAAAAACAATTCTACTCGCCGCTAGTTGTGACATCCCACATCGCCCAGGAGAGTGATCCTTATATGTATATTCCCATCCCTACCTAGCACAAGACCTTTTGGGAGCTCACTGGCTTCCGGTTTCGTAGGAACTCCGAAGTTAAGCGAGAAGGGGGCTAGAGTAATCCCATGATGGGTGACCCACAGGGAAGTTGCTCATGAGTTCCCAAAAACAAAATCGTGAGGGAATGGTAAGCCCAAAGCGGATAATATCGTGCTACGGTGGTGGAGCGGACCCGGAAAGTGATCCGCCCCGGGCCAGGATGTGACATAGTGGTTCAAGTTCTCGCTACAATTCTACCTCACGTTCAACATCAAACTTATTCTACTCTCAGAAATAGAACTTGAATATGTTGTCGATGCACTTCATTAGATTTGGGTCACTTTTGTCAATGTCCCAATCTGGCTGTTATGTAAAAAATTAATAAATTATAAATCTCACTAATATATTTTATTTAAAGAACATAATTATTATTTAACTAATTAATTCACAAGTACTTCTAACTCATCGATCAAGTACGTCTTTATCTCCTCGAGGACGATTCTCCAAGACTCTCAATCCACACCACATTTGTCACACACTAATACCCCAACATCGCACCCAAAACCTGGTGTGCATATTATTGATTTCTCAACTCCATTTAATTCTTCAGACGTGATTCGGTAGCAGCTCCCATCGAAAGTGTATCGGACCTGGGGCACAACTCTCTTCTTTTTCTTGTCTACCAACAAAATTTAAATTTATAATACTCAAGCTACATATATACTTTATAGAAAACGCAAAATTTAGAACGTATTACCATTTCCGAAACCTTCGCCCTTGATTCTCTTTGACAAACGAGCAACAGATTCAGCCATCGTACTAAAATTCAATTAACAACTGGAATTATAATCTGGAAAAAAAATAAAGTGTTTCCAAAACGAATTGTGAAGAATAGGGAGAGTGAAACTATAAATTTATAGGAAGCCTGGGGACCTTGCATGACAAAGCATTTGTCGCACATAACCCTGCACTAAATATAGTATTGATTCCTCTAATTCATATGCATTGATTCCTCTGACTCAAAAAACTAACCATCTGGTTGACATCTTGTGCGATGAAACCTTTGTCGCGCAAGTGTTTCACGGTAAACGTTTCGTCATGCAATTGTTTGGCGCCAAAAAAGGGCTTACTTGTGGTTTTCTGCCAAACTTTGCGCAATGAGGGAGTTTTTTTCGTTGTTCAATGACATTTGCACCACAAAACACTGCATCGTGCAAACTTCGGATTACAATTTTAGTTGCGCAAAACACCCTTGCGCGACAAATTTTACTTTGTCGCATAAAGATCTGTCGCAAAAATGATTTTTTCTACTAGTAAGGGATTATAGAAAATGAGGAATAAAAATCAATCACCCTATCGATGGATCTACACGAGATAAAAACTTCAAATGACTTAGTATAATTCAAAATCTAATAATGTTACACTTCCTGAACTTAATATCTGCAACTATATCATCTTTTTTTTCTTCAACATCAACACCACAAATCCTCAAACTTTTCATACAGAGGACAAATTATTCAATAGCTTAGGGAATAAATGAAGAGATATAAGTAATAATTTACAATCATAGGCATAGTTTCTCACGTCCAATCAATAGAATTAAGTATTAGACGTCTAGCAGAATTAGGCCCCCCCCCGGGCCGCCCCCCAGCCCAACCCCACCGAACTTAGATATATAATACAAAGGAAAACTTATGAAAAATACTTGAAAACTTTAAGTTTTAACGATAAGGACAAAATAAATGGTAAAGTGAATAGTACCATGATTGACTTTTTAATATAAAAATGTGATTTTTCATTAAAGTTTTTAGGACTGGTATACTGTTAAGTTTGTCCTAAGCATTAAATAAAATTTTTAGAATGCTTTTCATTAAGATTTTATTTTATTTAAAATAAAATAAAAATTAACAACAAAAATGGCTTGACTTTTGGCCCCCTTCTCCTTTTCGTACCATCAATTTGAAATGAAATATCGATATTGTAAAATGGTAGGCGGGTCATATAGTAGTAGTACACATTGAAAATGTGAACCTTGATGGCGGAATACTAACTTGTTAGAATGAGATTGTTGGAGTAATGATAATAGTTTCTTAAAAATATGAAGTAATGCTATAAACACCAATTTATTTGTAAACAAACGTTGTACTAGTTATATGTTATGATTTTTAATGAGAAACACAATTAAAAAACAAAACAAAGGGATTGCAAGTGATAGATCTTGCTCTAGTGAAATTAGTCTTCTCTATCAACCCACTACCTTTTATATTCAAACTTTTCATCTCATTAATATATATATATAGCTTAAAGTAGTTATGTCGTTTGTTATAAGAAGAATATAGAACAAAAACTCCAAGAGAATTTTCCATCACTCATATTATATAAGAAGTTCGATTTTTTTTTTCCCAATGAAAAGGACAAAGTAAATAAATCAACCATTTGCACCCCAAGATTTACGGATATATATAAAACCCTAAAGAGAAAAGAGTAAACCACCGAAAGTCTCAAACACTTTCATTTCACCACCACTCATATCATATATATCACTCATCTGCATAGCTATCACTTGGTCGGTCAAAAGCGAATTACAAAACAACAGAAACCGGTCACAGAGAGAGAGAGAGAGAGAGAGAGAGGACTCATCAGAACCACAAGAAAGAATCCGAATTCCTCACACACACACACAAACATGCAGCCGGCTGATCATCAAGGCCAAGAACTCTACCGATTTCTTGCCCAAAACGGCTTAATCAACGTGAATAATGATCATCAGTTATCAGCTATGCAAAGCTTTTGCAGCTCTTCTTCTAATAATTATAGTTATTACCCTCTGGAAGTGTCTGGGGTAAGTACTGAGCATGACGCCTCACCTCAAGATAGAGCCCTTGCTGCTCTCAAGAATCACAAGGAGGCCGAGAAGAGAAGGAGAGAGCGAATCAACTCCCATCTCGATAAGCTTCGAGGCCTTCTTCCTTGCAATTCCAAGGTACCTACCTATTTATGTACTCGATTATTAATCAAATTTGTTGTTCTTATTTTTGTGGTAATATTTGTCAAATTTGTTTTGGGAAATCAATTAAATAACTGGTTATAATTTTGTCCTAATTAATTTTGTTTTAGTTTAACTTACTGTTGGTTTTGCGTTTGCAAGTTTGAAGTTTGAGCTTTGACGCCTCCTAATTTACTTTCCTTTGCCGCTGGATCGATCCTTTCCCACTTCAACAATCATTTTTTCTCTTTTTGACTACTGTTTGGTTGGTGGGAAAAAAATGCTGGCGAGAAAAGAGAGTACTAATGGAACTGGAATCTACTTTATGTTACTTTTAACCAAGGAAGCAAAGATTTTGTGCTTACTGACTTAATATACAATTTTTATTTGTACTAATTAATTTAGAAATTAGTTCATTCATTCTGACTTACCCAACAACAACAAGAATCCTAAAAACTTGTTGTCATGAATAGCTTTTACAAATGAGATTCTAAGGTCTGGGACCTATACAGTCTTTTGGTACATTCCGTTTCTGAAAAAGAAAAAGGGATCAATGGCGTTGTAGTCAGACTCTGGTCTTTAGGGTAAAAATACTTATTTGGGAAAGCTGCTGAGCTTTTCACAACTAGGGTTCCTTATCTTTCTTCTTCTTCCTTTAATTTATTTTTTATTCAAACAAAATTCTCAGACAGACAAAGCCTCCCTGTTAGCCAAGGTGGTCCAGAGAGTGAAAGAGCTGAAACAACAAACGTCAGAGATCGCAGAGCTCGAGACCTTCCCTTCTGAAACTGATGAAATCACTGTACTTTCTTCAAATGATTATACAAGCGATGGAAGAATTGTTTTCAAGGCCTCTTTGTGCTGCGAGGACCGCTCCGACCTCCTACCTGACCTAATTGAAATACTGAAATCCCTCCATTTGAGGACAATCAAAGCTGAAATTGCCACTCTTGGAGGAAGAATTCGCAACGTGCTTATTGTTGCCGCAGACAAAGATCACACGATCGAATCAGTCCATTTCTTGCAGAATGCGTTGAAGTCATTACTTGAACGCTCCAACTCTAGTGAAAGATCAAAAAGAAGACGGGTATTAGACCGCACATTAGTCCTGTAATTGGTACTGGTACTTTAAACTTTGAGATTCTATGTATTTTCTTAATCTTAAGTATTTAATATTATTTTGGAATTAGTTGTGTGGGTTTGTTTTTAATTTATTCCCATGAGGAACATGAATGGGAAATGAAAGTAATCAATTGGGTTTAATTTGTTGATTATGAGTGGTTTAGGGTTTTGGATTTTGAATGTACCCTTTTGCGATTTGCATGCATGTGATATTTGTATTCATATGTAAGTTTGCAGAAGAGATATATTAATCAATTATAAGAATCTGACGAGTTTACGATTCTGAAGTAGATACTAGTGCACCTAATGTTGAATACAGAGTCTATTGAGAGCAACTTATATGACACGTATATCTGTGACGTTCATGTGTCAATGGAAATCATGTGAAAAATTATATATACCTTTTTTATTTTTCTGATTACTCTTTATATTTTTTCATGTATCTATGAAAGTAGAGTACTTGCTAGCTCGCTCTGCTGCATGCAAGTGTTTATGTAACATAAACGCTTATATCAGTCTCCAAGCTCAAAAATGGAAATCATGTAAAAAATTATATATACCTTTTTATTTATCTGGTTATAATTCTTTGTCTTTTTCATGTATCTATGAAAGTAGAGTACTAGCTAGCTGTCTCTGCTGCATGTATATCTGAGCTAGCTGAGCTCCTCTGAAATCTGGATTCTGAACAAATATATATACACTGATTCTCAAGAAAGCATGAAAGAGGGTATGTTATGAAATTCTTGGGACATATAGATTTGCAATGAGATATGATATGCTGAGACAGTGAGAAAGAGACAGTAAAAGACATGGTTTTGCAGCCCAACAATTGAACTCTGTGCTTCCATTTCCAGCACAGCTGAAATCAAACTCCACCACTTAATTCAGATTAAAGAGTAAACTTTCTCACACCAATCAAGGCGGATCCCTAGCAATCTGCCTTAATTAAGTTCTGAATTATCCACGCATACTATTTTTTTTTTTATCTATTTAAAATATTATATTTAATCTGCTCTCATCCACAAACAACATGTAATATGTAGATTCCACTATTTCTGTCCTCGTTCGAGTCAAGGACAAAGGGACCAAAGCATGCATTTTTTAATTACTTCAAAAAAATTTATGAGTACTTTTTTATCTGTAAATTGCTTGATTATTCATTGTAGAGAAAAGAAAAGAAAAAATAGCTATGAATTTTTGTTTATGTATATTATGTAATCGTAATCGCTCGGCTTTATTATTGATTGGTTTTGGTTCCTTAATTTGCAAGGAAACAGCAGAAGATGATCAAAAGTTGCAAAGCTTTCATACTTAGTAGAAAGGAAAAACGTGGAAGTGGACTCTACTCTAAACTCACTGCAATGTTTATGGCATTTGAAATAATTTTTGTTTAAATAGGGTTTGAATATTCGATGTCTGACCAAAAACCATAGATACAATCACCGACCATTCATAGGAAGGAATACAATACTCCCAAAATGACTATTCCTAATCAGAAGTCCCTGTTTTACCTCGTATGTTAGCAGTTTTCAAAATTTTCACTAATTGACTTCAAATTACAAAAGATTTTTATGAAAATGGGTTTACCCTTTAAGAAAAAAGTGGGTATTAATTGGTATCCTTTAATTTGTATGATGATTTTGTTAGGCAATTATGAGCACGCATAACATTCTACCTTGACAGTATAATAAAATGTCCACAATCTAAAGACCAACGTAGCCTTTCTTGTAATTCAATATATTGTGAATGTCTTCACTAGTAATTCAATTATAACCATTTAGTACTACGGTCTAGCGGTATTTCTTTTCAGAAATAAAATAATAGGGATCAAAACTGAAATCAAGACTTGCCCTATATCCCTATATGAGAAATCTGATAACATAGAGCATTGCTGCTACGTGAGCAGTATCATCGATTATTCCAAGAAGGTTAGGAATTTCTTAAAGAAATTATTTTCAATATGGCTTTTAAGTAAGAAAAAGACCAGCCCACAGAGTGCCACGTCAAAAAATTCTGGTTAAACTTGATACTTATGGACAGATGGAGAGACTAGTGTTGCAACATTTGCAGTAAGATTTTGATACATAGACAAATGGAGGGACCAATGATGAAACTTTAAATGCATGCATAAAGTGATCATATGGACCAAATTGTAACAACTTACAAGCTCAAAACTACAATACTTACAAAAGTAATGCTTAACACGCTGGAAGAGAGAGAGAGAGAGAGAGAGAGAGAGAGAGAAGGGTAGCGAAGCGTGCAAAAAGGAGGCTGACAAAAAGCATCAAAGATTTGTTAAGTTTTAAGTTTTGGCATGAGAAAAAAGCGGCAATGATGATGATGGGTTATGGAGAGAGAAAGAGAGGGTGTAGTGGGGACTGATGACTGCATATTCAAAGTTCAAAGGGGCTTTTACAAATGGCAGCAGCAGACAAATGCATTGCGCTTTGGGTGGCCCTGTCGTCTGTCGGGGACGTGCTCTCAGTCTCTGCCCCTCCCTCCCACTCCCACCCCTTTGCCCGCTGGCGTGCGTTTTAATTCTCTCTCTATTCTCAATCCGATCACAGCAAACCCTAGCTACAACTGCTTGGGTCCTTATTCTAAATGCTTAGGTATGCACTTTGAGACTCTGTCTTTGCATGCAACAATCTCTCTCTCTCTCTCTCTCTCTCTCTCTCTCTCTCTCTCTCTCTCTCCAGCAATCACTCCTACTCCCACTCTACAACCCAATCGCCAAGGAAGATTATATATATACACCTAGTTAGCATATTCATGATCACCATGTGAAAAACTTCTTTGCAAGTGACACATTTTCCAACGTTAGAGCACCACTCACTAAAAAAAGATAAAAAAAATCCTTTTTAGACGAAACGATTTCATCGGGGCAGATAAGGTTTCGTCCCCAAAGGTTTTGCCCGACGACACACAAGAAATACATTGAATACTTGGTTACGTTATTCATTCTTTAGGGTTTACAATATATAGGCACATATGCTTTATTCTATAAGAAAGTAATTACAAAAGATAAGGGAACTAAATTCTTAGATTACAATCAATTACAAATCATAATCCTACCAAATAGTACAAACACAATCTTCCTTTCAAGATTCTCCATAACAAAGTGTCTATCCACCTCTACATGTTTTGTTCTATCATGTTGTACTGGATTACCAGCTATTTCCCTTGCAGACTTATTGTCACAATATAATTTCATAGCTTCCTTTGGTTCGAAAACAAGATATCTCAAAAGTTTACGTAACCAAAGGAGTTCACATACTCCTTGTGCCGTGCCCCTATACTCGGCCTCTGCAAAGACCTTGCTGCTGAAAAACATTGTTCGGCATACCCTTATGCCTAACCAAAAGAGTTCACATACTCCTTCTACAAGGACATACTGGGTAGTTCAGCACGTTGCTACTAAAAAACACTATTATGTTCGCTAGAATCTTGCCAAACTGGGCTAGTATGTTTGGTAGGGTCATGTCGAACTGGGCTCAAATCTCCAATAAGTTCCTGCTAGGGGTGCGCAACGGGTATGGAGGGCGGGTAACTGCAATTATTTACCCATAACCGTTTAAGCTTTTACCCACATAACTGTTTATCTATTGGGTATTGCATAAATGGTTATGAGTATGAATGGTTATACCCATACCCATAACCGTTTATAAATAGTTAACCATACCCATAAACACGTACCCATTTAACCATAACCATTTACCCGTTTATCTTTATTTTTACCCGTCTACATGTTTTATTAACAACTTGAAAATTAAAAAAAAAAGTTGTCATATATTTTTTTAAATTATAGATACATTTAACATGCATTACCATATTTTAATTTTTTAAGTTCTCATACCATTTCAATAATTGAAATAATAGTTTACAAATAATGTAAAAATTAACATTTTAACACTTGTTTTTCGTGTAAATCAATTAGTAACTACCCTAAGCGGTATCGCGCATGTAACGCAAAATAAGAATCCATTGCTCATTGCAATATTGATACCTCTGCTCTACAAACACAAATATTTTTTTCAATATTCAATTACTGAAATAAATTAGAAATCAGCATGAATAGGCTTGTAATATTTGAGACTAACCAATCCAACAACAAGCAAGTATCATGCAACTCTTTAAAATTTGAGATTAACACACTCAATTCGACAACAAAAAAAACCCCAAAAATTCTTTCACATAAAATTCCAATTCCAACTCCAATTAGCTTTAAATTATACAAGGATTAAAGAAACTGGAAAACAATACCTGCTAGGGTTGGGGATCAAGAAAATAAACAAGTATTTTGTTGATGGTCAGTTGAGTGCCATATGTGTCGAAATGAGCTAATACCATATTTTGACCTATATTAGCTAATAAATATACATTAGTACAAAAACATGTTTGTGCGACGGCAACTTGAGCAACGGAGCAAATTTCGTCACGCAAAGTATGTTTGCGTGATGCTAAACATGAGACGTCACACAAAATTTCGTTGCGCAAAGGCAGTTTGCACGACGCCTCCTATGCGTCACATAAGATTTTGGCACCAAAGCAAGAATGCTTAACCACTTTTTTTCCCAACATTGTGCGACGTAGGTGCACCTACGTTGCGCAAAACAGCTTTGCACGACGTAGATGCACATTCGTCATGCAAAACAGCTTTGCGCGACAAAGGTGGCGTTGCGCAAAACTGCTTTAGGGTTTTAGGGCAGCCGTCTGTAAGGCGTACTGAGTAATGTGCCCCTCCGTCTTTAGGGCTCGGTCCCTGCGGATTAGGCCAATAGACCCACAATCCTTCAGCTAGCTAAGCCTTGAAAAAGGCCATTGCGGCTACTTCTAGGAATCCCAGCTCAAGCCATCATGCACCTAGTTATACTAAGGCAGCCCGGCTCATCCACGCCTGGATATTCAGAGTGTAAAGTTTATCCTCCCGCCTTTGAAAGCAAACCCATATGGGTGTCATGGAATTAGTTTACCCTCTCATACTGAAAAGCAATTAGTTTATCCTCTCGCTATGGAGATCAGACCCAGTTGGGTGTCGGGGAATTGGTTTACCCTCTCGCACTGGAGTGCATGGTTGGTCCCTCGGGAGGGGGGGAGGGGGCGCAATTTCTTCTATGAGTACCTAAGAAGGGCGCGATCTTCTTTTGAAGTGCAGGAGTGATAAGTTGTTGTAAGCAGGCAGCCGAGCCAAGTTGTAGATTACTTCTGAATTCCTCATTGAAAAACGAGTGAAACGAACGAGAACTTAGCTATAAGGTAGGAACTGCATAATAACTGGATAGTCCTTGGC